TGGGAGTCATGGAGTGAAAACAATAAGATACCAGTGTTATCATCACCTGGGAGTCATGGAGTGAAAACAGTAGTGCTCGAAACACAACCGCAGACTTTAAGATCAACAACAAAAGGACCCCAGCACAAAAACAAATACTATAACATTATTTATGTTTGCCATCATGCAGAATCTTAGACGAGGAAGAACAAAACACTGTTTATTAGTGGACTCGTTATGGAGTTCAATGTTACGCTTGCAGCTTTTATACAAACCTCACTTAAAAAACTAGTTTGACAGAGAAATATGGATACCTGGGAACACTCTGAAGTACTGATATGCCACCGAGAAAAACAGTCACCGAGAAGAAGGTTGGTTCTTGAAGTTGAAGACTCGTTCATCTACACTGAGTTACTTAACACCACAAATGATGCAGTTAGAGTTTTGCCAGTAAATACTGAAATTCAGAATCTATTTATTGTATTTGTATACAACGCACCAGATACAACCTCCCTGCAGTTTAAATAGAATGTCGATTTTTTTTATGTTTTATTAACACGTGGAAGTTTCCCACCGAGGCAAGGCGATCAGAAAAAAGAAGAAACACTTTCATCGTTACTCACTCCATCACTGTCTTGCCACAGGAGTGCCAACACTATAGTTCAAAATTTGCAACATATCTTTACCCCTTCTTCAGGTCGCAGGCACTGTACTTCCCACCTCCAGGACTCAAGTCCGGTTAACCGGTTTCTCTGAATCTCTTCACAAATGTTACTTTATTCACACTCCAACAGCACGTAAATTCGTAAAAACTATTTGCCTCCACTCGCTCCTATTTATCACGCTCCCGCATGTTTGCTGAAAGCCTAAGCCCCTCTAATTATGTTTTGAAAACCTCTCAAACTCGTCCTCAGATATGCTGCTTCGTGGTGGTTTCAGTTTGAGACATCTAGAATGGGAGTTCATGATACTAGACTGTAATAGCAGAAAAAATCCTAGGAGCTATTTGAGGTGAAGATTTACATTTTGCCAACGAAGTTTCTAGTTTATTGTGCACCCCGTATTGTGCACCCCGTATTGTGCACCCCGTATTGTGCACCCGTATTGTGCACCCCGTATTGTGCACCCCGTATTGTGCACCCCGTATTGTGCACCCGTATTGTGCACCCGTATTGTGCACCCCGTATTGTGCACCCCGTATTGTGCACCCCGTATTGTGCACCCCGTATTGTGCACCCGTATTGTGCACCCCGTATTGTGCACCCCGTATTGTGCACCCCGTATTGTGCACCCGTATTGTGCACCCCGTATTGTGCACCCCGTATTGTGCACCCCGTATTGTGCACCCCGTATTGTGCACCCGTATTGTGCACCCCGTATTGTGCACCCCGTATTGTGCACCCCGTATTGTGCACCCCGTATTGTGCACCCGTATTGTGCACCCCGTATTGTGCACCCCGTATTGTGCACCCGTATTGTGCACCCCGTATTGTGCACCCCGTATTGTGCACCCGTATTGTGCACCCCGTATTGTGCACCCCGTATCCATCCTGTGGACGGTTGCGCAAAGAACATAGATGTGAATACACAAATGAAAAAGGCCCCAAAACGGTTTACAGGAGTACATCTGGATTTATATCAACAGTTCATTTATCTGTTACATCAAATTTAGAAAACTTACTTAATATTTCTGGTATCTTATTTTCATTAATAAGATATCTTGACATGTCACATAGGTTATTATACTGTCTATCTCTAAATTCCTCAGTAAATGGACAAATAAGCTCATAGCGTTCAAGATAGGGCCGGCCACATGCTTTGCATTTGGTTTGATCATCTGTGTGTCTGCCAAACTGCCAGAAATACTTGTAACCAAGCCTAAGCCTGGCCACTACAACATCAGTCACTCTATTCACATTGCAAGTTGCTCCATAAACGTACTTGTATACGTTAATGTTATCATAGTGGATTATAGATCTACTCAGGTGTCTAATTGCATTCCAATAACATTGTTTAATTATTTACCTCTCACTTTCTCCTAATATTATTCGTAATGCTAGACACAGATACTCCAAAGTTATATTCTATATTTTCCTTCAGGATACTTTTCTTGGCTAATATATCGACTTTATCTTGAAGGAGTAGGTGAAGAGTCTAACATAATCGAAATATTAAGACTGCAATAAATTCGCCTTAAGCCAGATTAGGAAATACCCTTGACCTTACCTGTATATTCAGAAACACTGAGAATCTGGTACGCAACATAAGGGAGTTAAAAACAACTAATTTAAATTACAACGTAATTGAGGTTGATACCTACATTATGCACTGGTCTTCAGCAACAAAATGCACCCACTCACGAGGGTGTATTCAACAAATTCAATTTCTGTAATTAAAATGTTAAATGAGACCAAATAATGTGATAATGTGAGTGACGTGGAATTGACCTAGTATCTTGTGATGAGATAAATGACACTAGAAGTATGCTACTAGAAGTGTGCTCCAGACACGTAAAATTAAGAAAGAGGGAGTCGCTCTCTCTCTACAAGAGAAGACAAAGAAAAGCTGCAACTTCTTAAAAGTTGCAAATTTTATTAAAAACGAAACAGGAGAGACAGATGGGCAGAAAAAAACGAAATTGAAAGAATACAAAATATTTTTTTTCTCATGCAAAACTACATTTAGCATTAGGTTGGTGCTTAAAGGAAATAAAACTTACAATGACGACAACAAAGAAATAAGCAAAATACTGAATTCCCAGTCAACTATCAGTCAGTTTAAACACAAAATAGTTGAGTTTTTTATGGAAAAGACTCAGAACTCTGCCGACATCTTCATTATTTCTGACATCACACTAATTCACTCGACGTCAATGCCACTGATAGCACGTCCGTCCACTGGACTCCTTCCCAGGCCCTGACTCATGGAACTCCATACTTATAAATAACTGCAAGAAACAACTATCTCATGCTTTAAATATTCTAAGGAGACTGAACCTTGGACACGTGCAACAAAACATTTGCGAAGAACTATAGACCGATGGTGATAACGTTCATCAAAATCTTTGAATTTTAAGAAACAAGATTGTTAATCACATGGAACCACAACAATTAAACAACCCAGCGCAACATGGATTTAGAGCAGGTCGTTCCTGGATCTTGCAATTACTGGACCATTACATGATCTTGGATGCCCAGTAGACAAGCAAAATACAGATGTAGCGTAAACAGACTTTATAAAAGCCTTTAACAGGTGCAACCATAGTGTTATAGTGCACAAAATGCGGGCAAAAGGAATAACTTGAAAAGTGGCCAGATGGAAATTTAATTTTCTAACAACAAAAAAATACAACTAAAGAGTGATAGTGAACATAGTGAAATCAGAGGCTGCTACAGTGAAAAGTTCTGTTTCCCAAGACCTTACTCGCTTATATTTTCTTGCCCATTCTTATACCCAACACAGAGACGTGATCAATAGCTCCATATCATTCTTTGTAGATGATACTAGAATTTGTTGCAGGACCCAGCAAACCTCCAAGTTGATATATAGCAAGTATTCCAGTGGGACACTGACAGTAATGTGGATATTTTGAGGAAAGAAAAACTCGAGCAGAGTATAAAACAAATTCGAATCCCTCAGTAGCGCAAAAGATACACGTAATAACGTCAGATCTCACTTTCAAGGATCACAGCAGTGTTATTAACACAACTGCAAGGAAGACGATGTTTTGGAAAACTAAAACCTACAAAACAAGAGATGCTAAGCCAGTGTTGATACTCAAGTCATTTCTTCTCTCTGTAGCTAGGCGGGAATATTGCTGTACTCTGACAGCCCCTTTTAAGAAGTACATAAATGGTATACAATACTGACAAAATGGGAAACATCTGGGTATCTTTATTTGTAGACGTTTCGCCAAACAGTGGCTTTACAGTACAATACAAGGACATAATGTGAAGAATTATATACAAAAGATGAGGTAATCATTCCCTCAGCCTTGAAATTGGCGAACAACACCGTAGTCTTGACGGAACTGAAGCAGTCATGGAGCTTGGCGCTTGTATACTGGCGACAGGTGTAGGGCGTGCAGCAGATGAAGGCATATTCACTGGTAGGCGGGATTCCCCAGTATATAATTGTTCACATTATGCCCTTGTATTGATAAAGCCACTGGCTGACGAAACGTCTACAAATAAAGATACCCAGATGTTGCACATGTCTCTAATTCTTCACCTTTTAAGGTAGGCGAAATTGCGAATCTGGAGAATAGGCGCGTTTAAAGTCAAACACCTAAATTATTGGGAACGTTAACTCCTTTGAAATGTATTCCTTGGAACGTTTGCAAGAAAGATACACCAGAATTTACGTTTGAAAAATTCTAGAGCACACAGAAATCACTCCCTATGAAAGCAAGAGGCTTGGCAGATAATACGAATTATCCCTTATGGAAAGCAGAGGTGTAATGAGTGCACTTAGATATAATAAGCTTAAAGGGACCAACATTCTTCAGCACATTCCCTCCCTCCGTAAGGGAGACGACCAACATTCATCTATCTGGCATCGATAGGGAAATGATAAGTTCCTCAAGTCAGGTCCTCATCAGCCTAGCTATGATGCATTCATTCTGGTAACACTAGTAACCTGGTTGATCAGGTCATTAACCAGAAGACTTGGTCTCGGACCGGGCCACGGGGAGAGTAATCCTCGTAACATCTCCAAGTTAACTTCAGGTAAGCAGTGTTTGGAGAACAGCTGAGTTAGTTGAGTATCTGCCTACTGATTTTCGAACCTCTTCCATACAGATGAAGTATTGATGACCCACCATTGGAACTTTTTGTCATGTGACCGAAGCCTTCCACTGGCTTACCGGTCCACCCCTTTAAAAATTATGGTTATAGTTATAGCCATTTTTTTGTACAAATATTTTAAGACAATTATATTCTTCAACTTCTGATACTTTATCTGTAATATATTTGTAAGTGATTTTACTTAATATGTTGTTCAGTCTTGTATTTTGCTTTCAGGCTGCTGCAGCTTCTCGCGAGTCTAGTCCTAGCTCCAAAATGCGAACTCCAGGTAGTCCGGCTGTAGCCTCTAGCCCATCACATAACTTGGTGGGGCTACAGAAACCTTCCTCCTTGCCTGGCCTACATAGCCACCCAGAGAATGACAACAGTGCTCATTCACCCGACAGTGAAAACAGCAATAGGTAGGAGGACTAGTTTTAGTGAGTTGACTCCCTTATGTTAATATGGCCATATAAGGAAAGTGGAAAATCATAGAAATAAGTCTCAACCTCATTACATAGAGATATTATACGCAGTGTGTGTACCCACCTATTGTGGGATTACATGGGTTGAGTCTCTGTTGCTGGCCCTGCCTTAAATCTTCCTTTTAGCTTAATTGGTCCTATCATGCCTGTTCTTAAAACAATGTATGAAGCCTGCCTCCACTATTTCTTTACTGTCTGTCCACTCTCAGGCTGGATAAACTACTTCCTATGTCTCTGTAATGTCTAACTTCCAGCTTCGCCTGACCGTTTATCAAGTCCTTTGAGCATTTTGTATGTGATTATGCCTCCCCTGGTTCTTTTATTCTTCATCGTGTGTGTGTGGGGGTGCTATGAGCGAGTGTATATATGTGTGGGGGCTATGAGTGTGAGTGTATGTGTGGGGGACTATGGGTGTGTGTATGTGTGGGGACTATGGGTGAGTGTATGTGTGGGGGACTATGGGTGAGTGTATGTGTGGGGGCTGTGGGTGTGTGTGGGGGATTATGGGGGATTTATGTGTGTTTGTGGGTGGGTATCGGTGCCCTCAGTGTGTGTGGGGGACTATGGGTGAGTGTGTGTTTGTGTGTGTGGGGTGCTATGAGCGGGTGTGTATATGTGTGGGGACTATGGGTGAGTTTGTGTCTATGTATGGGGGACTATGGGTTAGTTTGTGTGTATGTATGGGGGACTATGGGTGAGTTTGTATGTATGGGGGACTATGGGATTGTAGATGGGGATTGGGTGATTGTTGTATGTGGGGGACTATGGGTGATGTTTTGTGTGGTATGTGTAGGGGGGGGATATGGGTGAGTGTGTATGTGTGGGGGGAGTATGGGTGAGTGTGTATGTGTGAGGAGACTATGGGTGAGTATGTGGGGGGATTATGGGGGATTTATGTATGTTTGTGGGTGGGTATTGGTGCCCTCAGCAATAACATGTACAACATATACGTCTCTTAAAGTTAACACGCTATCTACATTTCCAGGTTAAATTTATCTTTATTTTATCACAGTAAAGTAATATTTAGCTAATAGATAAGCTGAACCAACATAAATTACTATAAATGTATATACTACATAAGCCACACTAATTATTGTATGTATTTTTTCCAGTCCGTCAGAGTTGAACAGTTCTAAGAGGCTCGCTGACAAGCCACCACTCATCAAGAAACTCAGTGTTGCCCTCGAGTCCACTTTGAACTTAGAGGAGGACCTACGCCCCCTAGTCACCTCCTCCCCTCCCTCCCAGTCATGTCAAACCTCCTGTGTCACTACCAGTACCACCAGCTCCTCCTCAACTACCAGCACAGCAGTTGTTGGCTACGTTAACGAGGTCAGCGATACCTCGGTGAACAGTGTTCTGTCTGCAGATGGCCAAGAGCAGCAAGACACGGATAATAAATGGTGTGTATTATTCCTAACAATATAGCCATTATCTTCATCATGTCCCAAATAACAGTGTTAGTTATAAGCCAGGAACTTTAGGCTTTTATTATTATAATCTTAACCAAGCGCTAAAGCCGTAAGAGTCATACAGCGCTGCAGGGTAATGTGCTAAAAGGTGTAATACTTTAGGCTTTTGGAAGGAAATGAGATAAAACTATAAATTAATATGACATTTTATTGTGGCAACGTTTTGCTCTCCAGGAGCTTGTCAAGCCGGCTTGACAATCTACTGGAGGGTGAAACGTTGCCACTATACATTAGTAGAAACAAAGTTTAGTATCCAGAACACTACGATAGTACTTAATGCGATACCGGCATTAACTGCCATCCTAAAAAACCCAGCAGTTATATAAAAAAAGGTAATTAACTGCTTAAGTTTGTCTTATTAATAATCATATTGAATACAAGTTTCTTTGATTCATGTATAGTATGTTAACTACATTATTTTTTTAGTAATTATTAAGTTTATAAGGAAGAGAAATAGCAAAAAAGGTTTATTACAGTTTACTACGATAAGAATTTTTCCAGAACTAGTGTCCTAAATGTGGGAAATATACAGTGGAACCTCGATACTTGAACTTAATTCGTTCCAGAAGGCTGTTTGAGTGCCGCTCGGTTCGAGTACCGAACAAAATTTTCCTATAAGGCAAAATATAAATTAGATTAATCCGTTTTAGACCCCCAGAAATACACTTAGTGAATTTGTGGTGTATTTTCGTATAGCATTTATGATTGTATTCTCGTTTGCTTGATCTCGTTTGATAGAATGAAAGATATATTACAGAACAGAGATGATTTTGAGTGGTTTAAAGACTAAAAGTACCTTGAAATTGAGCTCAAAATAGCGGAAATGTTCGATTTTTGCTAATGCTCAGGAGTAAACAAATCACATCACGTGTCCAATACACGTCAACTGGTGGGTATAATTGCTTTCACAAATGCGCTGATATTATTTATAAAAAAGAAATCAATAATGCAGTAGTCTGCATAATAATAAATCTTCTATTTTTTGTGTGAATAAAAATTCAAAATGGAAAGCAAGCGTAATATAAGAGGAGCCTGAAGTGGGAGGAGCAATAGGAGAGAGAGGGAGGGGCCAGCAGAAGGAGCATTCAGTATCTGAAGAGTTGTCGTGATAGCCGGATACTAGCGGTGGCCGGAATACAATGTTGTGTAATTACGCTAATATTAGTAATAAAGGTTATCTATCACATTTATTCCAACTTGATATCAGAAACATGATAGATAACTAGAAGGACAATAAAGACACCGAAATTAATAATAAAAGGCACATATGGAGAGGCGGAGGTGGTGTTTACATCAAGGCAAACACACTAACCAATTTTCTTTTTGGTGGCTGTTATCAATAATCTTCTTAGGCCCCATGGTGACCTATTTATACAAATAAAAAAAAAAACTAAAATGCAGACGAACAGGAAATAGTTTTCAGTGAATTTCAGCAGAGTTTTGGACTGAGCAACAGCTGAGCTGCGGGGAGACTGATGCACATGTTCTGGCAGATCGTGTTTGTTTGGTCGAGTGCTGAACAGACGGTTGACTACCGAGTGATTTTTTTACCTAACAAAGCACAGAGCGTTCGAGTACCGAGGTTACATTTCATTTCAATAAAAGACGTAGAGGATACAATTTCTTCTACAAATATTGATAGAACTAAGTTAAAAGGCATGTTTTATATAAATATATAATATATATATAATATATATATATATATATATATATATATATATTATATATATATATATATATATATATATATATATTCGTGCCCAATAGATAAAACTTGCGATTTTGGCTTATATAACACCCCTATTCTTACTGAATAAGGCAACCGAAAATTTGTGTATTCATTAATTTTGCAAAAAATCATTTTGAACCTAACGAGAAAAATATATTTCATTGTGTTTGTTTATTATAAACTTTAAAATATATGTAGTTGGATTAAGGTAAATTAAATTGTGCTTGTTATAATAAGGTTAGGTAAGTTTTCTAATGTTCTCTTGGTACAAAATTAACTTTTACATTAAGATAAATGAAAAAAAAATATATCTTCAAATGTATAAGAGAAAATTTTAGGACTTACTTTAAAATGAGTTCTTGCTAATTGACCAGTGTTACGACACACACACACACACACACACACACACACACACACACACACACACACACACACACACACAAACATCTTTCTATGGATCCTGAGAAAGGGAGCAAAGACACTATGTGTACCACTAACAACAATCTTCAACACATCTAAACAGGGTGATTACCTGAAGTATGGAAGACAGAATATGTAGTCCCAATTTTTAGAAAAGGAGACAAACACGAAGTATTAAATTACAGACCAGTGTCACTGACATAATATGCAAGGTCATAGACAAGATTATCAGAAGAGTGGTGGAGCACCTAGAAAGGAATGGGCTTATCAACGACAGCCAGCAAGGTATCAGGAATAGGAAATCCTGCATCACAAACCTACTGGATTTCTATGGCAGTAAGATGAGAGAGAGGGGTGGGTAGATTGCGTTTTCTTGGACTGCAAGAAGGCGTTTGACACAGTTCCACACAAGAGATTAGTGCAGAAGCTGGAGGACCCGGCAGGGACAACAGGGAAGGCACTACAGTGGATCAGGGAATACCTGTCAGGAATACAACAGCAAGTCATGGTACGTGGTGAGGTGTCAGAGTGGGCGCCTGTAACGAGTGGGGTGCTACAGGGATCAGTCCTAGGACGGTACTGTTGATTGCATGTATGAATGACATGACGGAAGGAATAAACTCCGAAGTGTCCCTGCTTGCAAATGATGCGAAGTTTATGAGAAAAATTCAATTGAACGAGGACCAGGCAGAACTACAGAGGGATCTGGACAGGCTGCAGGACTGGTCCCGCAACTCGCTCCTGGAGTTCAACCCCACCAAGTGCAAAGTCATGAAAATTGGGGAAGGGCAAAGATGACCACAGACGGAGTACAGTCTAGGGGGCCAGAAACTACAAACCTCATTCAAGGAAAAGTATAACACCAGGCACATCTCCTGAGGCGCACATCAACCAAGTAACTGCCGCAGCATGCGGGCGCCTGGCAAACCTGAGAACAGCATTCCAACATCTTAATCAGGAGTCATTCAGGAACCTGTACATTAAGCCTATTTTGTAGTATGCAGCTCCAGTTTAGAACCCTCACCAAACCAAGCATGTAAGGAAACTAGAGAAAATGCATATGTTTGCAACAAGACTAGTCCCTGAGCTAAGAGGTATGTCCTATGGGGAGAGGTTAAGGGAAATCAACCTGACTACACTGGAAAACGGGAGAGATAGGGGTGATATGATAACATAAAATACTGAGAGGAATAGACAAGGTGGACAGAGACAGGATGTTCCAGAGATGGGACACAGCAACAAGGGGACACAGTTGGAAGTTGAAGGCTCAGATGAACCACAGGGATGTCAGGAAGTAAGTATTTCTTCAGTCACAGAGTTCTCAGGAAGTGTAACAGTCTGGGAAGTGATGTAGTGGGGGTAGGATCTTTATATAGCTTTAAGGAGAGGTATGATAAGCTCAGAGTGGATTGAGTGACCGAGTAGTGGCCAGTGAAGATGCGGGGCCAGGAGCTATGACATCTTAATAAGGAATCGTTCAGGACCCTGTACACCGTGTACGTTAGGCCCATATTGGAGTATGCGGCACCAGTTTGGAACCCACACCTAGCCAAGCACGTAAAGAAACTAGAGAAAGTGCAAAGGTTTGCAACAAGACTAGTCCCAGAGTTAAGAGGTATGTCCTATGAGGAAAGGTTAAGGGAAATCAACCTGACGACACTGGAGGACAGGAGAGATAGGGGGGACATGATAACGACTTACAAAATACTGAGAGGAATTGACAAGGTGGACAAAGACAGGATGTTCCAGAGACTGGACACAGCAACACGGGGACACAGTTGGAAACTGAAAACACAGATGAATCAAAGGGATGTTAGGAAGTATTTCTTCAGCCACAGAGTAGTCAGGAAGTGGAATAGTTTGGGAAGCGATGTAGTGGAGGCAGGATCCATACATAGCTTTAAGCAGAGGTACGATAAAGCTCATGGTTCAGGGAGAGTGACCTAGTAGCGACCAGTGAAGAGGCGGGGCCAGGAGCTTGGACTCGACCCCTGCAACCTCAACTAGGTGAGTACAACTAGGTGAGTACACACACACACACACACACACACACACACACACACACACACACACACACACACATATATATATATATATATATATATATATATATATATATATATATATATATATATATATATATATATATATATTATTATAATATATATATATATATTATGCTCAGCTAGTTGTGGTTGCAGGGGTCGAGTCACAACTCCTGGCCTCGCCTCTTCACTGGCCACTACTAGGTCACTGTTCCTCCTCCATGCACTTTATCACACCTCTTCTTAAAGCTGTGTATGGATCCTGCCTCCACTACATCACTTCCCAGACTATTCCACTTCCTGACAACTCTGTGACTGAAAAAAAATACTTCCTAACATCCCTATGATTCATCTGAGTCTTCAACTTCCAACTGTAACCCCCTTGTTGCTGTGTCCCATCTCTGGAACATCCTGTCTCTGTCCGCCTTGTCGATTCCTCTGAGTATTTTATATGTCGTTAATATATCATCCCTATCTCTCCTGTCTTCCAGTGTTGTCAAGTCAATTTCCCTTAACCTCTCCTCGTAGGACATACCCCTTAGCTCCGGGACTAGTCTTGTTGCAAACCTTTGCAATTTTTCTAGCGTGCTTACATGCTTGGCTAGGTGTGGGTTCCAAACTGGTGCTGCATACTCCAATATGGGCCTAATGTACACAGTGTACAGGGTCCTGAACGATTCCTTAAGATGTTGGAATGCTGTTCTTAGGTTTGCTAGGCGCCCATATGCTGCAGCAGTTATTTGGTTGATGTGCTCAGTGATATACTCACGCCAAGATCATTTTCCTTGAGTGAGGTTTGTAGTCTTTTGCCCCCTCGACTGTATTCCGTCTGCGGCCTTCTTTGCCCTTCCCCAATCTTCATGACTTTACATTTGGTGGGGTTGAACTCCAGGAGCCAGTTGCTGGACCACGCCTGCAGCCTGTCCAGATCCCTTTGTAGTTCTGCCTGGCCCTCGTCTGATTGAATACTTCTCATCAACTTTGCATCATCTGCAAACAGGGACACTTCTGAGTCTATTCCTTCCGTCGTGTCATTCACAAATACCAGAAACAGCACCAGTCCTAAGACTGACCCTTGTGAAACCCCGCTTGTTGAAGGTGCCCACTCTGACACCTCGCCACGCACCATGACTCACTGTTGTCTTCCTGAGAGGTATTCCCTAATCCATTATAGTGCCTTCCCTGTTATCCCTGCCTGGTCCTCCGGCTTTTGCACTAATCTCTTGTGTGGAACTGTGTCAAATGCTTTCTTACAGTCCAAGAAAATGCAGTCTACCCACCCCTCTTTCTCTTGTCTTACTGCTGTCACCCTTTCATAGAACTCCAATAGGTTTGTGACACAGGATTTCCCGTCCCTGAACCGGTGCTGGCTGTCGTTGATAAACTTGTTCCTCTTTTCCTGATAATCTTCTCCATGACTTTGCATACTATACATGTTAGTGACACTGGTATGCAGTTTAATGGTTCATGTCTGTCTTCTCTGTGTGTGTACTCACCTATTTGTACTCACCTATTTGTGGTTGCAGGGGTCGAGTCCTAGCTCCTGGCCCGCCTCTTCACCGGTTGCTACTAGGCCCTCTCTCTCCCCGCTCCATGAGCTTTATCAAACCTCGTCTTAAAACTGTGTATGGTTCCTGCCTCCACTACGTTATTTTCTAGGCTATTCCACTGCCTTACAACTCTATGACTGAAGGAAATACTTCCTACTATCTCTCTGACTCATTTGTGTCTTCAACTTCCAATTGTGGCCTCTTGTTTCTGTGTCCCTCCCTGGAACATCCTGTCCTTGTCCACCTTGTCTATTCCACGCAGTATTTTATATGTCGTTATCATGTCTCCCCTGACCTTCCTGTCCTCCAGTGTCGTCAGGCCGATTTCCCTTAATCTTTTCTCATAGGACATTCCCCTTAGCTCTGGAACTAACCTTGTTGCAAACCTTTTGTACTTTCTCTAGTTTCTTGACGTGCTTTATCAAGTGCGGGTTCCAAACAGGTGCTGCATACTCCAGTATGGGCCTGACATACACGGTGTACAGTGTCTTGAATGATTCCTTACTAAGGTATCGGAATGCTGTTCTCAGGTTTGCCAGGCGCCCATATGCTGCAGCAGTTATCTGATTGATGTGTGCTTCCGGAGACATGCTCGGTGTTATACTCACCCAAGATCTTTCTCCTTGAGTGAGGTTTGCAGTCTTTGGCCATCTAGCCTGTACTCTGTCTGTGGTCTTCTGTGCCCTTCCCCTATCTTCATGACTTTGCATTTGGCAGGATTAAATTCGAGAAGCCATTTGCTGGACCAGGTGTCAGTCTGTCCAGGTCTCTTTGAAGTCCTGCCTGGTCCTCATCAATTTAATTCTCCTCATTAACTTCACATCATCTGCAAACAGGGACACTTCTGAGTCTAACCTTCCATCATGTCGTTCACATATACCAAAAATAGCACTGGTCCTAGGACCGAGCCCTGTGGGACCCCACTCGTCACAGGTGCCCACTGTGATACATCATTACGTACCATGACTCGTTGTTGCCTCCCTGTCAGGTATTCTCTGATCCATTGCAGTGCCTTCCTGTTATATGCGCCTGATGCTCTAGCTTCTGCACTAATCTCTTGTGAGGAACTGTGTCAAAGGCTTCTTGCAGTCCAAGAAGATGCAATCAACCCACCCCTCTCTCTCTTGTCTTACTTCTGTTATTTTATCATAAAACTCCAGAAGGTTTGTGACACAGGATTTGCCTTCCGTGAATCCGTGCTGGTTGGCATTTATACTCCTTCCGTTCCAGTGCTCCACCACTCTCCTCCTGATAATCTTCTCCATAATTTTGCATACTATACACGTCAATGACACAGGTCTATAGTTTAGTGCCTCTTTTCTGTCTCCTTTTTTGAAAATGGGAACTACATTTGCCGTCTTCCATACTCAGGTAGTTGCCCAGTTTCTCAGGGATGTGTTGAAGATTGTGGTAAGTGGTACGCACAACATATCTGCTCCCTCTCTAAGGACCCACGGAGAGATGTTGTCCGGTCCCATTGCCTTTGAGGTATCGATGTCCCTTAGCAGTGTGTGTGTGTGTGTGTGTGTGTGTGTGTGTGTGTGTGTGTGTGTGTGTGTGTGTGTGCAAAACAACCACGGGCCTTTTGTGTTGCAATCAACACATCAGGAGTTTGCAGTGTTGCAGAAATGATTAGGAAGTACAGGTAAATACATTCAGGGGAACAACTCTAACAAGAATGAGATGGCATCCAGCAGATCAGTGCCAAGTGCCAGAAGATGAAGGCAAGTTGTTAAAACAGTAGCAGTAGAAGCATATAGAACCCCATCAACATTAAATATTTAGTAATGACCTAGCAACCACATTAGAGATATGACAACTATCACCAACATGGCATCAAACTTCATATCTTATCAATACTATAAAAGACTTTAATATTGTGATCTGAAAGATGTCTGGCATCTATTAGTAGGGAAAATTCCACTGCATACAAAGAAAATGGGGAAGCAGCAAAAAGGGTGAACCTTGTTTCCCAAGGCTGGCCCGGTTGGCTGGCCCATTTGTTGGTGTACACTTCTGGGATGGAAAGGTACACCAACAAGTGCTGGACACATTACACTCAATCAAGGAGATGGTTAAGAAGCTGCTAAGTGAGCTAGATACCTCAAAGGTGGTGGGACCAGACATCTCTCCGTGGGTCCTGAGAGAGGGAGCTATGTTTGCCACTAGCAACAATCTTCAGCACATTTATTGAAACAGGGCAACTGCTTGAAGTGTGGAAGACAGCAAATGTAGTTCCAGTCTTGAAGAAAGGAGACAGACGTGTAGCATTAAACTACAGACCAGTGTCACTGACATGTATGCAAAATCATTGAAAGGCTTATCAAAAAAAGACTGGTGGTGCACCTAGAGAGGATTATTATTATTATAATAAAAAAAGAAGCGCTAAGCCACAAGGGCTATACAGCACCTAGAGAGGAATGAGCTTATACACGATAACCAGCACGGTTTCAAGGAGGGAAAATCCTGTGTCTCAAACCTACTGGAGTTTTATGACAAGGTGATAGAAATAAAGCAGGAGAGTGAGGGCTGAGCAAACTGCATTTTCTTGGACTGTAAGAAGGCTTTCGACACAGTTCCTCAAAAGAGATTAGAGTAGAAGCTAGAGGAGCAGGTGGGAATAACAGGAAAGGCACTGCAGTGGATCAGAGAATGCCTGACAGGAAGGAAACAATGAGTGATGATGCGTGACTAGGTGTCAGAGTTGGCACTGTGGCGAGTAAGGTTCCACAATGGTCAGTCCTAGGGCCAGCGCTATTTCTGGTTTATGTGAATGATGGAAGTGATAGATTCAGGTGTCCCTGTTTGCAGACGACGTGGAGATAATGCAGAAAATTCAAATGGATGAGGATCAAGTTGGACTACAAAGGGATCTAGACAGGCTGCAAGCCTGGTCCAACAACTGGCTCCTGGAGTTTGACCCCACCAAGTGCAAGGTCATGAAGATTGGGGAAGGTCAAAGAAAACCACAGACAGTACAGGTTTGGGGGCCAAAGACTGTAAACCTCACTCAAGGAGAAGGATGTAGATGAATGGTTCAGAGAACCGACAAGTTGATAAATTAGACACATATGCAACACTTGGGTATCTTTAATGAGGAAACTTTTCGCCACACAGGAAATGCTTCTTTGTATGGACCGATAAAGCCATTGTGTGGCAACACGTTTCCTCATTAAAGATACCCAAGTGTTGCATATGTGTCTAATTTATCAAGGAAGAGGATCTTAGGGTGAGTATAATACCAAGCACATCTCCTGAGATGCACATCAACCAAATAACTGCTTCAGCATATGAACGCCTAGCAAACCTAAGAATAGTGTTTCGACACCTGAGTAAAGAATCGTTCAAGACACTGTACATCGTGTATGTTAGGCCCATATTGGGGTATACAGCAACAGTATGGAACCCACACCTGGTTAAGCACATCAAGAAATTAGAGAAAGTGCAAAGGTTTGCAACAAGACCAGTCCCAGAGCTAAGGGGTATGTCTTATGAGGAGAGGTTAAGGGAAATCGAAATGACAACACTGGAGGATAGGGGGGACATGGTAACAATGTATAAAATACTGAGGATTTGATAAGGTGGATAGGGACAGGATGTTTCAGAGATGGGACACCGCAACAACAGGTCAGAGTTGGAAGTTGAAGGCTCAGATGAACCATGCAGATGTCAGGAAGTATTTCTTCAGTCACAGATTTGTCAGGAAGTGGAATAGTCTTGAAAGTGATGTAGTGGAGGCAGGATATTTACTTAGCTTTAAGGAGAGGTATGATAAAGCTCATGGAGCAGGTAGAGTGGTTAAGTAGCGGCCAGTGGAGAGGCGGGGCCAAGAGCTGAGACTCGACCCCTGCAACCACAACTAGGTGAGCACACACACACATGTACATATACATGTATGCAATTTTATTACTTAAGTTACTTCTGCATAGGTGGTAGGAGCCAAGTAATAGGAGTTAAGATTCATGCCTGTCAAATAGTACTGATATTGGTTTGAGCCTCTGGAATGTTATTTACAAGATTAGTTCCTCCTTGTTTATTCACAGTTGTTGAGAGTGAAGAAGAAGCTGCAAGGATGAATGAGTTAAGCCTGCTACACGGAAAACTCACATGCAGAGAACTGCCAGAGATTCATTGTTATGGGTAGTAAAATAAGATAAAAGTACATTGGTTTCTTTTTCCACAGCCGACTCTCGGATGATGTGAAGCTGAAGCGCATATCTCAGATTTCTGTTAGCTCAAGTGCCTCATCAGGCATAGTAGGCCTTGATGTATCTACTTCAAGTACTCGTTCAGCATCACCTCCACCTCTCCCTGAGCGATCAGATTCCCTCACTCCTCCAGAGGAACCACATCTTAAGACGGCTGCTTGGTTTCAAGCTGGCATACCCAGGTGAGAATAGTATTTTTTTTTTTTAGGTACCATGAAAAAATCATTAGAAATTTGATTTAAGATTTTTATTTCTTTAGAATATACATGGAACTTACAATGGATGGGTTTGCTGTTTATTTGGTCACAGATTTCTTACATTTATGAGATTACATCATCTTACTAAGAAAAACCCCCTTGCTATGTGAAGCGTTTTGGTCAAATTATTTTTAGATCTTTCAAACTCTTTAATACTAGTACTTGCATGTAAATTTAGGCTGAAAATTCAGAATGAATTTGTATTATGTATTTAAATATGCCACAAATGTGCCTCGCTTATACTCTTTTATTTATGAAGAATAAGTCATAATATCATGGATGGAACAGTTCAAAACTAGCCCTTGGTTTGAGAGAGAAAGCTTTAGATGATGTTTTGATCCATCCTGTAACGAAACTGAAACTTACAAGGTTTCTTCTCCATATTAGGGATTACTAGTAAATTCCTCTATAAATGTTTTAATTACAGTATTTATTCTAACTTCTCTGGCAGCTTGACATGTTCGGTGTATTGTGAAAGCCATGTTTGTTCAAATGTACTGTATATTTTATCAAGGCAGAAATCATTTGTTATAAATTATGCTTTATCTAATTTGTCTTCTGTTGAGGTGGACCTGGGTATCATTTTGCTTTTGTGACATGATTTCTTGATGAGGCTTTGTGTGTAATGGGATAAAATACCAACACGATGTTAAAAAGAGATAAATGCAATTACAGTATATGCAGATTTCTTTGATGATGTTTTGCTCGCACAATGGGTATTATCAAACTTCAAACAGATAAATCTGTAGTAAGCAGATATTTATTTATACTGTAGTGAGTTGCAGTGAAATGACAAGTGAGACAAAAGTCAGGTCATGTTACATTGATTCCCAAACATTCTACAAGTTTTCTGGTGAGTGGATCAACAAAGTTGAATAAACTATTGTTATGGTTGAAGTTGTTAAAGATTTTGATGAGTTCCAATTCAGTTACCCCTCTCTGACTGTTTTCCCGTCTTGGCAATTAGTCCATCTACTTGGAGGCCATTCTGGGTGTCAGTGCTTCCGCGGCACTATTTGGAGGCATTTTCTTAATGAGATTCTCATGCAACTGCCTTGCCTTTTCACATATGATTGACTGTGAAACACTATCCCCTGATAATTGTTACTTGTTTATCCACACCAATAACAGTCTCTCCAAATCTTCAAGTATTTGCGATCTCTGTTTTGTAATCACACTTGCACCTTTTGCAACAACAGCTTCCTTGATTCCCTTTTTATTGTGCAATATAGTAGTGATGGTTGAATGGGGTTTGTTGTATAACTTTTCCAACTCCGAGATACCCACTCCACTTTCGTACTTTTCTATGATCTCCTTTTTCAGTTTGATGGTACACCTCACCCTTTTTACCACAGCGTTGGCACTAGAAGCTTTCTTGGGGCCCATGCTGGCTTATTTAGCAGTTACAAGCACTAAAAACAGTGGAATACTACAAAATATATCGCAGGTACACATAGAATCGACAATGCCACACTGGCTGGTAGACTGGGTAACTGGCCAAGCCTGCTCACGGCGCCCAGCGGACACGTTCAGGACGAAAGCTCCTAACTGAGTTTTTAGTTGTTAACCGAGCCAATTTTTTATGCCAAAGCGAGGCGTTATCCGATTTTGGCGTTATCCGATCCAGGCATTAACTGGGGGTCCACTGTAATTAACAGAGAAACATGATATATACTCTAGAATGAATAAAATAGGCCATAATAAGATGAGTGATGATGGCAGCGGCAGCGTCCGAATTTTGTCCTTTTCTATCACTTAATCGGTTAACTAACTTGCTACACTCTTAATGCTGCACTTTATCACTGAAATTAACTGATACAATTTGTTTTGTTTAATCACTGAACTTAACTGATACAATTTGTTTTGTTTGATTGCTGAACTTAACTGATACAGTTTACTTTAATTCCATGGAAATCCTCTTTTTCTTATCAGCACTGTCCTTTGCACTTGTTTTCTTAGGACCTATGGTTAGAAAAAAAGAAATTTGGCCAAATGATTGTAAAAAATGCAAGCAAGCACTAGAGAACTGCTCTCACAACTATGTAAACATGTGGACTCCTTACTGGAGGTTTTGCTATTGGCTGTGCCATCTAGTAGCAGCATTCTGAACTATTATTACGTATTATGTATGTATGTATGTATGTATGTATGTATTATTATTATTATTATTATTATTATTATTATTGTTATTATTATTATTATTACATATAATTATTATAATTATCATCATTATTATTATTATTAATTTAAAGAACTGAAGCTCACTCATTATTATTACAGTATTATTATACAGGTCCTCCATCACAAATCCGGCATCATTGGGACCTGTAGTGTGCCGGATTACTGAGTTTGCCGAATTACAGAGTGGTTAAGTTAGAATACACTTAATAAAATTAACCAACTTGACTTACAGAGTTCATTGAACATCAGCACATATCGAACAAACCCGCTACTTTGAGCTCAATTTCAAGGTACTTTTCGTCATGAAAGCAATCAAAATCATGTCTTTTTCTGTAACATATCTTCCATTATATCAAATGAGTCCAAAAAATGAGAATACAACCATAAAAACCATATGAAAATATACTGCAAAGAGGCGGCTAATGGGTGAGAAGTGAACTCCCTTATTTATCGTCCGTCATTTTTATTTTTGTTGTACGTTAAGAAGCATCTTTCCATCATACATTGCCCAAGTTTCAATGAGATAGCCCAACAAACAATCGAGAAAAAAAAATATTTACCAAAAATCATATATGGCAAGCCCAAGCCAGGTACTGGAAATAAGTCACTTTGTCTGACTTTTCTGGGTTATACTAGGTTCTCTATACATACACTGCTATGTATGATAATCTATGTAACTGTATTTGTGTATACCTGAATAAACTTATTTACTTCTAGTCTGTCAACTGAGTACAAGAAGCTTCCCATTCACTTATTTCAACTACCCAATAAAGTGGTCAGAAATTGACAATTTGGCCGATTTCACACAAATTTCAACAGATGCCAATTTCAAAATAGGGTCCAGAATAAACAATGCAGACATTCCTGGTACTAAAATAACATTTTCTCTGTTCATTAGTCACGGCTACAGGCCCCTCTTATATTACTCTTGCTTACCATTTGGAATTTTTATTCACAAAAAAAAATAAAAGATTTACTGTTATGCAGACTACTGCATTATTGTAATAATTTTATAAATAATGTCAATCCATTCTTGACTCCGTACTGGAATTTAGACTGGCAGGCGGACAGGTATTGGACGATGACGTCATTTGTTTACTCTTGAGCTTTGCTAAAGAATAGAACATTTTCGCTACTGTGAGCGCAATTTCAAGGTACTTTTCGTCATGAAAGCAATCAAAATCATATCTATTTCTGTAATATATCTTTCATTCTATCAAATGAGACCGAAAAAATGAGAATATAACCATAACAACCATACAAAAATATACCACTAAGCGGCCGCTAATGGCTGAGAAGTGAACTCCGCTATTTATGGTCTGATTTCTTTCATTTTTGGTGTACGTGAAGAAGTATCTTTCCATTGTACATTGCCCAAGTTTGAATAAGATAACCCAACAAACAACTGAGAAAATAATAATAATAGTGTAATAATAATAATAATGCATGTATCTTTATTTACTACACGTACATGTACAAGGTATACAGGCCTAGCTGACATCAGTGACATACTTCTGTATAGAAAGGCACTTGTTATGCTGAGTATTTCAAGAAAATTAGGTCAGTGTCCCAGGATAACACCCACACTAGTCGACTAACACCCAGGTACCCATTTACTGATGGGTAAACATAGACAACAGGTGTAAAGAAACATGCCTAATGTTTCTACCCTGGCTGGGAATCGAATATTTACCAAAAATCATATATGGCTAATCCAAGCCAGGTACTAAAAATAAGCCACATTGACTTTTTTGGGGTTATCCTAGGTTCTCTACACATATGCTGCTATGTGTGATAATCTGTAGAGAGAAAATAACTTTTTTGTTTCATGGTTATGGTGGAGTACGAGTGTATATCATAGTTAGCCCTGTGCTATACTCCGTTTTTTCTAATAGAAGCCCCCAAGACAAGGATAGGAGAATGGTATTTGTTTACCATATCCTCTTCATAACTAAATGAATACATTGCTAAGTGAGCAGAGGCTGTACTTATTACATCCTAACTTTCCACTTAGACTACAGTGGACCCCCGACATTCGATATTAATCCGTTCCTGAGAGCTCATCGAATGTCGAAAATATCGAAAGTCGAATTAATTTTCCCCATAAGAAATAATGGAAATCAAATTAATCTGTGCAAGACACCCAAAAGTGTGAAAAAATTTTTTTTACCACATGAGATATTAAGTTAAATGCAATAGAATAATTACAATAACAATAAATTAATAACAATAGAATAATTGACACTTACCTTTAATGAAGATCTGGTGATGATTGATGGGATGGGAGGAGGGGAGAGTGTGGATGGTGTTAGTGTTTAGAAGGGGAATCCCCTTCCATTAGGACTTTAACTGGCAGCCTCTCCATGCCTTACCACATTGTGTATGCCACTACGATTCTTAAATCTTTCAAACCAACCTTTGCTGGCCTTAAATTCACTCACATCACCACTAGTTGCAGGCAATTTCTTTACCAAATCATCATGCACTCCAACACACGCACTCCACTTTCGTACTTTGCAATTATCTCTTTCTTCATTTCAATAGTCATTAGCACCTTTTTTCTTGAAGGGTTGGCACTAGAAGCTTTCTTGGGGCCCATGGTTACTTATTTTGCAGAAACAAGCACCAAAAACAGTGATAATATGGAATGTACCAAATGTATCTTTAGATGTGTGCACACTGGCTGGCTTGTAAACACTGGCACACACGGGGCAGTTCAGGCCACACGTGGACACGTCTTGTAC